GTGTGTCCAGGTGAAACCATGGCAGAGGGTGCGGTGGTTGAGCCAAATGGCCGAAGACTGGGTGTCTGACAATGGGGTTTTACACAGCGGGATGTGAGAGTGATGCTGCACGTTAGCAGAGAGAGAGAACAGTTCTGACCTCCCCCTTACAGTGCACGTGTGTGTAACTCCAGGACCAGTGGCACTAGGCCTGAGGCCGTGGCTGATGGTAAAGATGCTGCCCCCACTGTAATCACTGAGCCACTGTCTGGGACACTGTTTGCTGTCAGTAACTCCACAGAAACTGAAACTGAGCAGGTTTGCTTTGGGATTCAGATCGTTAACATTTTAACTTCCCATCTGATTCACCCTTTATCTCGGGGGTGAGTTAAAATACCTTCGCCAACACCCCACCCACCACTCCCCTCACCCCTCACCACCAACCCCCTCACCCCACACCACCACTCCCCTCACCCCACACCACCACTCCCCTCACCCCACACCACCACTCCCCTCACCCCACACCACCACTCCCCTCACCCCACACCACCAACCCCCTCACCCCACACCACCAACCCCCTCACCCCACCAGCCAATCAGAATGGCCATTTGACCAAAACGTGTGAGGGTCACAGGGTCACTGAACCCCATTTTCAATGACCACCAATACAGGGCAAAACTGTGGAGAAACGACCAAAATCCTGCTGATAATCATCACGCCAACACTGAATCATATTTATATGAAAGCGAGCTGATGTTTATTGTGTGGTTATGTAATGACATATGATCCATACATAAGACATATATGAATCCCACAGCAATATTGAGTCTGCGTCAATGCTAACCCATTGGCTCCTGTTAGAGTAATGCTCCATATATCTCAGCTCACACGAGCGATTATTCACAAACTGAGCGGGAACGAGGATCATTAATAAAATGGTCAGAAATTGGGACAGGAGGAGCCTGCTCTGCCACTCAACAGGATTATGGCTAATCCCACATTCCTCACGTCCACTCTCCTGCATTTTCCCCGGTACCCTTCATTCCTCGACTGATCAGGAATCTATCTATCTCAGCCTTAAATAGATCCAAAGACTCTGTCCTCACTGATCTCTGTGGCAAGGGTTTCCAAAGTCTCTGAGGGAAGAAATTCCTCTCCATCTCAGTCTTGAATTGGCAGCCCTTTGCCCTGAGACTGTGCTTTCTAGACTCTCCCATGACGGGGGAACGTCCTCTCAGCATTGACCCTGTCAAGCTCTGCAAGAATCTGATACATTTCAATGAGATCACCTCTCATTCTCCTAAACTCCAGTGGAATGTCACCAGGGATGAGGGCCAGAGACTGAGAAAGATGCTTACAAAAAGTACTTCTCTTTTTATTAAAAGGAATGCAGATGTAGAGAGAGTAAACAGTGCCAGGTTGTTTCCTGTGGTAAGTTCGGAGAGCATTGTTACTGATGGAGACAAAGTGGAGATTTGTCATGAGGGATTGTAATATTTACTTGCAGGGTTTCTTACTGCTAAAGATATAATATCATTTAAAAAGGGGAATTATGTGCAAAAGGTCAGAATATAAAACCATATGGGGAAAGAGCAGGCTAATTGATAGCTCCATTGAATACTAGCACAATGGGCTGAGTGGCCTGTCAGAATGCTGTAATGCTTCTCAGATGGTGCTCCTGTGTGTAAACACGGGCAGCTTTTGCTGTGTGTGAGAGAGAGCAACTGTGTGTGTGAGAAAGTGTATGTATGTGTGTATGTATGTGTGTGAGAGAGAGACAGTATATGTGTGTGTGAGAGAGAGTGTGTATGTATATGTGTGTGTGAGAGAGAGAGAGAGCATGTGTGTGTAAGAGAGTAGGTACATATATGTGTGTGTGAGAGAGTGCATGTGTGTGTGAGTGTGTACGTATATGTGTGTGTGAGAGAGAGAGAGCGTGTGTGTGAGAGATTGTGTGCGTATATGTGTGTGTGAGAGAGAGAGCATGTGTGTGTGAGAGATTGTGTGCGTATATGTGTGTGTAAAAGAGAGAGCATGTGTGTGTGAGAGATTGTGTGCGTATATGCGAGAGAGACAGAGCATATGTGTGTGAGAGAGTGTGTGCATATATGTGTGAGAAAGAGAGACCATGTGTGTGTGAGAGTGTGTGCATATATGTGTGAGAGAGAGAGTGTGTGTGTGAGAGTGAGTGTACGTATATGTGAGAGAGAGAGAGCACGTGTTTGTGAGAGATTGTGTGCATATATGTGTGAGAGAGAGAGTATATGTGTGTATACGTGTGTGAGAGAGTATGTGTGTGTGAGAGAGTATGTGTATGTGAGAGATTGTGCGTATATGTGAGAGAGAGAGAGCATGTGTTTGTGAGAGATTGTGTGCATATATGTGTGAGAGAGAGAGTATGTGTGTGTGAGAGATTGTGTGTGTATATGTGTGAGAGAGAGAGAGATTATGTGTGTGTGAGAGAGTGAGAAAAGGAGACAGAGAGAAAAACTATGTGTGAGAGCGTGTATGAGACAGAGAGAGAGCGTGTGTTTGTGTGTGTGTGTGATGTGTGTGTGAGAGAGAGGATGTGTGTGCACATGTGAAAGAGAGAAAGGATGTGTGTGTGTTTGTGTGTATTTGTGTATGTGTCTATATGTGTGTGTGTATGTGTCTCTCTGTGTGTGTGTATTTGTGTATGTGTCTATGTGCGTGTGTATGTGTCTCTGTGTGTGTGTGTGTGTGTGTGTGTATCTGTGTGTGTGTGTGTGTGTGCGCGTGTGTGTGCGCGTGCATGTGCGTGTGTGTCATGTTTGTGCATGTGTTTGTGTGTGTGTGTGGGGGGTGGGTGTGTGTGTGTGTATGAGTCAGTGGGAGGAAGGAGCTTGGGTGGTGAGAAAGACAAAGTCTGTGATGAGTTCCAATGGAAAGGTCATCAACCTGGCATGCACTGGCTGAGTCAATCCTGGCAACTCAACAAGTACATGGGCACTCACACTCACACCCAGT